TTACTTCGAATTAGAGAGTTGAGAATCAAAGTGGTAAAGTTCGTGAATTATGGTGTTGAGATACAGTTTGGCTAACAGCGAGGGTGGTTGGGCGTCTAGCGCCGGTCGCGAACTTGCCTAAACTGCACGCTAGGGCTGCCAGCGAACAACTTTATAGGCGCCCAAACGCTGGGCACCTGCGCACTGGGTTTACCGCCTACATATATATTTTTTACCCCAATCATGTTTTTCTTCGTTCGCAAATATTTCGACCGCTGAAAACTTATGAAACCTATCGAGATAAACAAAAATAAGTTTTTAAGATAAGTTATCTAATTCATGATGCAATATAAACTGGGAAAGTTTTAGAATGTAGGTAGTTTTAAGTGTTCTTTGATCTTTAATAAATGATTAAATTATTATGTAAAAAATGATCTGTTGTGGCTTCTCTATACTTTCTAATAAATCAATAGCGGCTTAAGTCAGTAAAAAAGCCATTCTAATTTTCATCATTCGAAACTTTTTTCCATGATGATTTTTTTTTCACCTAAGATCAGCTAGGTCGAAAAGTTTATTGATTTGTTGTCCTTTGACTCCTCTTGAATAAATAGCAGCTTACTGGGCTATTATCTTATAATAGTAACCATGTTAATCAAGAATCTTTTGGAGTTCCTAAGAAGTTTAAAACAACAGAACCCCTTCTTTGATCCTACGTTAATCCTACTGTTTATGTCATCGTCTGTAATTATTAAGGATTTTCATACTGAAACTGAAATGAAAAATTAAATTTGCTGACCCAACAAATGACGCGAGGTGTGAAAAGATACGTTTCTGTAAAAAAAATAAATACTGAAATCATCAAATTAATGAACTCGACCAAAATTGAAAGAAATGTTGTCATAAAGAGTGCTAAAAATAATCGGAATATTGAACGATTCCTAAAAACAAACGGAAAACTTAAAATTGTGACATCACCATTTGCAATTATAAGTCAAGTCTCTTCTATTAAAAAAAAAGAATAAGTGAAGGCACTGAGAAATCAACATGGGAAAATTCCTCAATGATATAAATAAGCTTCTTTTGTCATAATATCTTTTGTTCTATCATTTGATTAAGATTTCGGCGGATAATAAAAATAACGAACCCCTACGCATTAATGACTAAAATAGTTATTCCAAGATTTTTCTAATTAGGTGATAGGACGTAGGATGTATTGTTCTAGAAGGCTCTGTGTTATTTTGGTTTCTCTCTCCCTGGAATAATCCTTGCTCTTGCAACATAATAAGGCAGGGGTCGGGTGTGGGTGGTATATTGCATGGGCAAAATATTCGGTGACATACGCGAAAGATTGCTATTTTGGTCATTGAGTTATTTGGTAGATTTTTCTAGACGTTGGGTAGGTAATTACTATTTGTACCAAAATATAATTTTGTCGAGATGTTTTCTATTCTCAAAAAATCTAAATGGCAAGGCAATAAAAACTTTATTTGTAGCAAAACAACGACTATAATTTGAGAAAAGAAATCTCTCTGTTAAAAAGTTATTTTAAACGTGTAAAAAATAGTCTTTGAAGGCAATCCAAATGGGAAATTTTTTAAAGACTTAAAAACGAAGGTTCTCTATACGTCTGTGGGAAAAATGTTTTAAATTGATCCCCAATTAGAAATTGTATGAGTAGGTTAATTTCTATCGGCCTAACAATTCTGAAAAGAAAAGTGACCCATGCTTCGAAGGCTGGTAATTTGCCTTTTAAGGCATCATGTAAGTAGGTACACTCGAGTTCATAAATATATAAGCAGTGCCAATGTTTCAAAATATTGTTAGCGTTTTAACGATCATCTATTTCATGTAATCATATAAACTGTTCATTAACATGTTGCGGTAGCGCAGTATTGGCTACTGCGCTACAATATTTTGAATGGGCACTGCCAATATATTTATGAACTCGACTGTACCTACAGTTTGACAAATCAGACTACATACATCTTTGTTGCGAAATCGCACTTATTGCCAGATGTTTTATGTTTTATGTTTTTGTGTGATGTCCTTTTCGTTTCTTTCTTTCTAATATTGTAAAGAGGAAAGATTTGATGATCCGTTTCTGTATTCAATAGGCTCTTAAAGTACTGGACCGATTTGGAAAAATCTTTCACCATTAGAATCCTACACTACCTATCCCTGATGAACACTATTATAAATTTTATTAGATTTCACGCGATACAAATTTCGCGCGTCAGCTAGTGTTTACGATACATTTTAGCTCGAAATTTACACGTCATTAATGTTTTTAGATAAATCGTTCAGTCGTTATGATCTGCATAATGCCATCACAGAAAGCTATCGAAGTGTGTTGTTTACGTTCGCGTCATTTTAATTATTTAAGCATTCAAACGTGATCTTGTTTTCAATATTAAAATTCGATAAGCAAATGAATAAGTAGGTAAAGTAATTATTCAAACACGTAATAAGATACGGGACATGAAATTGTGATTAAAAATAATTATTAATCTGATAAACGCCTCCAAGGACTAGTGAGTAGATTGGATCGGGTGCGTCCAGATTCGATTCCTAGATGGGATGCACAAATAAATTAAAAAGCACTTTTTGTAATTGTTCCCAGTTTGGTTTGGATAATAAGTATAAGCTTAAATTAATAATATTATTGTTATCGTGAAATATAATTTCTCTCCCCAGTGGACACGTTAAGCCGTTATGATTGAGTCAATTTCTGACGTCTATTGCGGCTGTAGTATTAGGATAATCTGACTCATATTATCCCTTAAGATGAAGAATAATGTAAGAATTCATAATGACGGCGAAGACCCGATTTTCCTGTATTTGAATAAATTATAATAAATTTTTTAATCCATGCATTTCCCTCGAGTTATTTAAATCAATTTACTTAATCCACCATTTCCCCAGTCAATGAGCGCATAGTAATCGCTGCTATTACAATCCGATTATGAAGCACGTTAGCCGCCGTGAAGTGACGTAAACTTAGGAGTTATTCGGGCAGGTAAAGGGTCATGAGTCGATGGAAGGAAGTGAAGCGAGGCGAGATAGAGCGGTTACACCGGGCGGGGATGTGCGTGCGACACGCGATCCGATACCACCAGCCGATGCCGGGAAGTACACAGAGGTGCGAGACACACCGAGAACACAGTGATCGTAGTCATAAATTGATATTGATGATGACGATTCAGCACTTGTCAACTTGGATTTGTGAAAAGGCGCTGAGGCCGCTTTCATATTAGGGCGTGAGAAGCGCGACAGCAGCGCTGCAGCGGCGTTTTTATAATGTGAAAGCATGCATCCGCAGTCACATAGTATGAAATTATCGGCAGCGCATCTGTCGCGCGTTTGTCGCGCTGCGAAAGTTGCCTAAATGTGAAAGCGTAATTTAATTCATTGCACGCGGAATGTACAGCGGAGCTTAATAAAACCAGAACCACTGAATTCACACAATGTAAAACAATTTCCACTTGGAAATTCTCAACATGCTCCAGTTTTAGTTAATACGAGATTTAACGTTGCATCATCTGCCTTTCTATATTATTTAAATTATCAAAATGGGTCTATTAACAAATTTTTATTAAAAGCATATATAATGCCACCCCACAAAGGAAAATGAAACCACGACTATAAAAATTGAAAGCAGCTTGCAGTAAAAAATGCAAAAATAAATTTAATATTCTGTTTGTGATGCCAACAAGCTTCGCTTGCCCGCGGACCAGCAGACGTTTTTAATTTCACCTGCGAAATAATAGATAAGCCTCACTAACACACACTAAGTGAATTATAAACTATGCTGGCTGTACATAATCAGGCGATTTCAGGTCAGCTAAGTATGTTCTGACACAGTTCTGTATCCCACCGTTTATGCGCGGGCCAGTGTAACTTAATGTTAAGAAATGGCAGCAAATTGGTTAAACTGAACAATAAAAGCCTGAAAAGTTTTTCAAAACTAATACTCAAAGTACCCTCGGACTATCACTACGTAGTATAAAACAAAGTCGTTTTCCGCTGTCTGTCCCTATGTATGCTTAGATCTTTAAAATTACGCAACGGATTTTGAAGCGGTTTTTTTGATAGATATGCCCGTTTTCACCATCAATCCCTAATTTTTAAGTGACCTCTATGGTAACACATAACAGGAATTTTGTTTTCATGGGGGTTACTTAAAAATTAGGGATTGATGGTGAAAACGGGCAAGAGTGATTCAAGAGGAAGGTTTGTATATTTAGCACCCATGCGAAGTTGGGGCGGGTCACTAGTTTATTATAAGATATAAAATATCTAAAGCGAATTAAACGCTCACGGAATTATTGAACTTGACTATGATGTTTCAACATTTTCCAATAGGTATTGTTAATTATGAAAAATCTAAAACGTTAAAATAGCGGTATCGTTATAGCCAATGAGCTGCTGTCATAGTGACATTGACAATACGTCAATGTCACGCTAGCATCAAACGTCAGAATAGAGGGACGCGCGGAGACGACTCCGCGCGCTTTTGTGCTAAGTGATGAATTGTATCTAAAATAAGGCAATATAATGTGAAAGATGAGTATCCAGTGTATTATTTATGAGAATAGATCGACCGGCCTCTAATAGTATGTAGGAGGTATTTTCATTGGTTATTTAAATGGTTTGGTCCCGATAGTGCCTTAACGCAGCTTCATTATGCAGCTTAGCTCATAGAGCTTACTTAAAATACTTAGCCAAGCTAACCCTTGTAGCTCCCGGTGTGCCCCACGCACAAAGCTATGTGCTGAACCGCCCAACTAAATCTCTTATTGACGCGCGATCGCACAACTCACCGTAACATCAATCTTTTATTCGTCCGTCATTATACATATATGTATATAGGTAATATTTTTTTCTATGAGAGGTATCGATACTCTTATGGTTGAAAATGTTGAAATTGATTGATTTTGATTGAATTGTTGATTGTGGGATCAACGGTCTATCTCTCACAGATAGAAAAGGTATTATTGTCAGATATAAAAAAGTCCACTCACCTCCCAATTTTCCGGGATTAGTTTCTTCCTTAGACTGGAGTCTTGGTACCTCGTAGGGAGCACCGGGTCCTCCCCCGACACCGCTCGCTGGTAGGAGAGCCTGCGGCCCTTGCTGTCCGTCACCACTCCATAGTGGTTCTCAGGTATGCTGGACAGGTCCTGGTAGGAGTGGCATCCTTGTATCTCTCGGTTCTTCTCATCTTGGATGACGCGCCGGAGGTAGTTGGTGAGACCTTCGCTTGCCAGCCAAGTGACCCTGAAATATTTTGTAAATGAATTCACCATTCCACAGATAATCATGATTATAGGTAGGTGAGTAATATAATATATTTTGATGCTTTCAAACCGGACTCTTACAGACGAACGACATTTGCCTAACGACAAAGACAACTGCATCGTCTGCATCCTGATAGTCTGAAGCCAAACGTGCGAAAAATCCTGAAGATCACGAAACACGAGGATCAACAATAGTGAATAGAGTCAACAACTGCGGTACATTAATCAATTTTATCATCATCATCATCATCATTATCTCAGCCATAGGACGTCCACTGCTGAACATAGGCCTCCCCCAATCATCATCATCATCATTTCAGCCATAGGACGTCTACCGCTGAACATAGGCCTCCCCCAATGCTTTTCATGTTTTCCGGTTGATAGCGGCTTGCGTCTTGTGCAATCTTAAGTAGCGTTAATGCATTTACGTCCCGTTGACTATAGCTCGTCTGTGAGAAACCTAACTCAAGGACGTGTCATGCATCATGACGACACGTCACCGGCAATGTCTGTCAATGTTGACAACTGTCACAACAGGCGGCTGTACTAGGCTTATCGACGCTTGGAGCATGAGCGTATCATGTCAAGCGTTGTGTTCACAAGGGAACTGTGATTGAATACCGTACCCAACTATAGTAGCTACCTTGATTGAGATTAATACCGAAATCGAGAGGTAAGCGTGGTTAATTTAGATGGTAGGGTAAAGAGCGACCTAACCAAAAATAGAGAGCGTATTAGGAGTTTCATGGATTAGAAAATATAATATTTATGTTACAGCAGCTATGTTACTACTGGCAGCGCCAACCTATTCTATTCGCCTATTTCTACTCGCCATCGAAGTGCCAAATAAGAACTTATTATAAGGCCTTGTCCAGGAGGGCTAATTCACCGCGAATGTCTTCGCGCGAACACGAGCGTATGTATGACGCGATTTACGCGCAAAACAACTTGCGCGTGTCTTGTGGACGCAATGTATTGGCTGCTAGGCTAGTATCTCGCCAACGCGGCGAATTCGCCCTCCACACAAGGCCTAAGACGTAATCATGTTTTGCTTCTGTCCGTACCATATTAGCTTAAATAAAAATCACACCGGCAACACTTTTACAAAGTTGATTAGTATAGCTCGTTTTACAAAGTCGATGAGATATAAGTACATGGTATCACGGCTTTACCCTCCGGAAGCCAAGTTCAAGTTCGGTGCGACCCAGTTAGCGGAGGATGTGCCCACTAGATGCGGCCTACTAAGTAGAACACGGTGTTACAAAGTAAATATCAGTGGCACTTTGTATTTTATATTTTCATTAGATAAATGTATGCAAATACAATTGCGGACCGTAAAGCTGAAGAGATTGTTTGCTTAGACGCGCTAATGTCAGAAACTGCTGGTCCGATTTGAAAGAATATTTTTGTGTTGGATAGCACTATCGAGGCTAGCTCTAGGCTATACATATAGCAGCCAATAGGGGCTGAGCAGAAAGAAAAATGTTACAAATACGGGAAATAATTCGAACTATAAATATTTTCACGCGTACGAAGTCGCGAACACACCTAAGAGAATGTGAAATACCGAAAATGTTTTCATTGACCTCTTTCAGACTTTCATCTTCCAGATTATTTAAAATAGTACCTACACACGGAGCTTTAAGATATTCTTCGAATAAATTTGCCTCAGCTAAGTTTAACCTGAAAATTATTCATATTTATTTTTAGCATGTTACGTTAAATACCAAGGGTTAGAATCCTTGTTATTACAATGAGATATTTCTTGAGCGCACTTTAGTAGAAGCAGTTTCTTAAAATACTGTTGTTCGTATTTTCAGTCTCGTAGGTTTATCGTTTACTTTTTAAGTTTTTTCTACCCTTTACTATACTCGGCGCAAAGACTCGTGGCAGGCGGTGTAAATAATAAGACAGTGCATATCACGTTTTCCTTCGCACTCACACTGGTTATGGGTGACGTCACACAGAGGCAGGCATAGCGTTGTTTATAATACGTGATAATTAATTATTGGCAAGTGTGCATCTCTGTTTCAAAAATTACGCCCCGCTTGACACAAGTCTTTGCGTCGAATATAGTGAAAATCGTATGGTCATAGTACCTACATTAAAGTAACGTTTTGAAACTAGTGTTCAGCGTGCGTGTATGTAAGTCGTAAGTGTTTTATCGTCAGTTCATGCCAGTAATTGTAATTTACACATTGTATCAGCAATTACCTGGTTAAACTGTTAGTTACGTTTTTATCGTCTTTGATTAACATGAGTAATATTATTTGATTTAAGACAATAATAACAATAATAATTCACTTCCTGGGTAAAAATATTATTGTAATCGTTTTCTACTTTCACTTTACAGGAACCATTGTTCAATATCAATAGGGGAGACCGAGGAGAGTTGTAACAGAGGAGAGTTATGACATTGACGATTTTTTTGGAACTTATTAACTACTAGCGAGCTTTGTTAGCTCGAGACCTGTGTGCTTACCATGAGTTTACTTTAGGTGTGCTTGCTAGCGAATACGTCAAAAAATATATGAAGATTTTATGCACAGTATGTCATACATTTAATTTCATTTTTTTACGCAGTCGCTAGCGAGCACACTGCACACCTAACGTAAACTCATGGTAAGCATACTGAACTAAAAACACGCACTGTTGCGAGTTCGTTGATAGTTAATCCAAAAAACAACAATGTCACAACTCTCCACTGTTACAACGCTCCTCGGTCTCCCCTGTGGTATTCTACGTTGATATTGTTTGTTAGCTCGGTTTACGATGGGAGGCGGAGGATGTTGTCCCTCCCGCTTCCTGCAATGTCGCTTCATTATAGACCCTCTGTTGGTGTTGACGTCTCTGCTTACATGTTTGGCTATCGGAAATTATCCACGAATTCGAATGACAGATGCCACCTTAATTTGTTCGATAGCCTCAAAATTTCACTTTCGTAATAAAAGCTTTTTTGAAGACATACTCGTAAAGTAACTCGTAATATTTTTTCTTTCTTTCTTTCTAAATTACGACGCGACGACAAAACAAGGTTAAATACTTAGGCACCTTTTTTTTAAATATTAGTAGCAATTTGTATTGCCCAAATTACTAATAGTCCCGTTAGCCCCTTGTGGTAAGCTAAATAAGCTTGTGTTACGAGTGGGCTCACCACAATATATGTACTAAAACGTTTATTTTTATTTGTATAGAGAACAATAGTGTCTAGACAAACCTCAAGAGGATTTAAGACACTATTTAAATCAAAGATGTAATGGCTAAATAATGTAATAATAAATAAATAAATAATAGTCGAGCGGCGCGGCGGTGGGATTCGAACCCGCGTTCCTCGGATCTCGCGTCGGCCACTCCGACCCCTTCACCGTTCGGCTATCGTGGCTATATGTATAACATTCCACTTAAATTGGCTGCCTGTAGTAATTCTCTATTTAGTACTGACGATACAAAGCTAGCTTACTTGTTGTGACTAGTTGCTAGCAATAAATTACCGCTTGTTATGACTAGAGTGCAGTTGGTGGCCTAATTTCCAGTCTGTAAAGCCGTTTAGCCCGGCCCCGATCAGGCCACGAGTAACTTTGTCCAGGTGCATATAAGCTGGGGCTGAATCAACGTTGCCAGTTTTTTTTTTCGCCAAGTCGGGACTTTGATACTTTTTGAGTGAAAATAGCGGGATTCTTCCGTCAGAAGCGGGACATAGTAAAAAAACGTATATAATCAAAGGTTTTCAAATATTTATCTTTTTATTTGACTTAAAATTACGTTTACGTGACAATAGATAACAAAAGTAGCCATAGAAAATGTTATGTTAGAATAAAAAAAGAAAAAAATTAAAAAAGTTTTATTCTTTGGAATAATATGGCGTTTCAAACAATAGTCTGGTGAAGTGAGTGTCTCTCTCCGAAAAGCGGGACCGAGCCTGTCCCGCGCGGGCCATTTAAATTTGATCTAAAAATCGGGACGTCCCGCCAAAATCGGGACGTCTGGCAACGCTGGGCTGAATACTTTGTATCTGTTAGTCGATGCTACGTATTTGTGGCACTAAGTTATTGCAACGATTACCGCATGAAAAATGGCGGATATAAACAACTTTACTGTGATATGACCAGTTATAAATTGAGTTTTATGATCCGATTTGTTCTGGGATAAGTGTTTGAGAATAAAATACACAGGTGAAGGGAGGGTATCGTAGCTTAGTTAGTATTGTAGAGGCTAAATTAGTGTAATAACTATATTTATTAATTAAAAATTACACCCTAGTTGAAAACTGTTTTAAAGTGACGTTTATTCGAACGTCATTGAAAATGTAACTTTAAAACCGGTTTATCACAAACAAACTTCAATTTTATATCACCTTTCATGGATCAATTAATATGATCAATGATGTAGTTCCTGGGATATATCTTGACCTCTCTTCCCTCAGGGCCCTATCCTGTATAACTGAGAGGTATTTTGTACTGGAGAATTAAATTTTCTTACAAGAATTTTGTATAACTGCAGTATTACTAAGCTATTCTCTACCGGTGGCAAAATGGCGCTGATGATAGATTTCTGGTCATGACTGTCTACATAAACCTGATAGATAAATATTATTATTTTCTTCACTAACCGGTTAGATCTAGATTTCCGCACTCTGGCCCCGTGAGCAGTGTCTAGGCCCGAGCTCATGGATATCGCGCGGGAGTTCAGAAGGGAATCCTGGATGTAGGACTCGCTTAGACCTGGAACAAAACGAATTATTAATAATGTGGGGAAACATAAATTTATAGAGGACAACACGTCACACTGATCATAATAATATGTAGTTGTTGTAATAGCACAGAATAATAAAATAAGTACTAGTGGTAATAGCAGCTATTTGGAAAGGAAAATGTCATACGCCACATGGCATTAAGCTCGCCTGTTGTACCACTGTATTTTTATGTGTGCAATAAAGATTTTAAATAAATAAATAAATAAATACGCCCGTATTCACAAACACTACTATGAGGTCTCACAGTGCGCGTGGACGTACAGGGTGACACACGAACCAATCACAGAGCTCTATTCAACGCTGTGCGTTCGATTTGCTGCTTCATTTAAGTAAGCATCGTTTGTGAATACGGGCGTTAGTCTGTGTACGATTGGTATAGCCTGACCAGGAACATAAAAACCCTGGCATAGAGGCGCTTCAATTGCATTTGATAGTGCAACACTGGGTACAGTCGTACCTGTATTAAATTAATAGGCTAACTTTATGTATCAGGATTCAGGAATATAGGCTTATTTAATATTTTCATAAATTAACAAAAACGTATTATATTATAGGTAAACTGGTTTAAATAAATTAAATGAAACCATCAATCGAGCAAGTAGGATTTTATTATTATTCATCAATAATCAAATTCTGAACTTGAATATTCAACTACAATGTCTGCTCATGAACGCTTCAAGCTCGGTACTTCTTTCCCAATTCCATAAAATTCAATACTTACAAAGTGACAAAAAACTTTAAAATAGGTAGTTGAAACAAACCACAGCTAATTTCCATAGTTGACTGTACTATACGATAAACATGTCAGTCAATTTGACAACCTTTGTCGGAAACATTATTCACTGAAAATTTTGTCCGAACCCTTAGTATTTCTCTTCGACAAATACTTTAACACATTGTGAACCACTTTTCTTTCACGACTATAAAAAAAATTGAATAAGCTTTTTTTGTTTCATAGTAGTCATGTCACTAGGACGCATAGTTTCCGAGGATTAAGCGAAAAACAGAAAAGTGGTACCTTTAAACCCCCTCTCCCCGCCGGCTCAAGGGCGAAGGGCGGGGACTTTTGCTATGTTCACCACCTAACTAGGCTAAATAAAGTCCCGAGGTCAAAAATTGTGTTACACGGATTTCTCTCTACACCGTCGTTAAGGCATTCATTGACTGGACTAATTGTAAAATTATAACTTTTTTATTGAGTAATTTGATTTTCTTTGATTTCATACTGTTTCTGAAGATTTCCATAAGCACTTTACTACAAACACAAACTCAAGAGTACTCAAGACTATTGGATGCTTCTTAATAATCACTTCTGGATCTGGATTTACCGCGATGGAACTAATTTTTATTACATTCGTTTATTAAATCCCGTAGACAGAACGGTCAAATGTGATCATAGGCTTATAGTTAGGGATTAAAATCAAGGGAATATCCTGTCACCCCACCATAATTGCCCCGAAACTATTAAAAATATGCCTACAACGTAACAAAATAACGTCCAAGCCTAGTTCCTTCGGATGAATGTAAAAGGTGTATCCGCTGCTGCAAATGTAAATGCTCACAATCTATCCACAATAAAGGTTATATTAGAAAATCACAGCATCCTTCCCCCCACCATTTCTGGTGCGGCCACTTGACTTGGATTTTTCCCTTAACCGGTAGATGTCACTATCTCCCCTTAGTTCGCGATATCATTTGATTTTTTCCATTTCTTTAAGAGAATTTCGAAATTTCCACTACAATTAAGTTCAATCGCAAATAGCCCTGTAGCCATCAAATTGTGTTCGAGTTCGGGATACCGACTCATTGCACGCACGGGTCCCTTAGCCAGGATTCGTATAAATTTTTGAAAGTCCTTTAATGTTTTAAAGGACATAGATGCTTTTGTCATACTCCACGTTGCTAATGTGGACATTTGAACACGAAATTGTGATTTTCCTTGTCCGCGTCGCGGTAGACATGTGCGTGCATATTCACAAACATTACTATGAGGTCTCACAGTGCACGTGGACGCACAGGGTGACGCACGAACTAATCACAGAGCTCTATTCAACACTGTGCGTTCGATTTGCTGCTTCACTTAAGCAAGCATCGTTTGTGAATACGGGCGTTAGTGACTTTGTCCTGTGATGCGGATTTCGGCACACGTGCGAATCGTAATCTTCCGTATCTTATTAATAAAATGCGAAAGTTTGTATGGATATCTGGATGTCTGAAAAACTACCATGCTGTACAATTTTCTGTAAATAATCAAAATAATTTGAGAATTCATGGTGTTCCTTTCATTTGTTTTTTTTTTTTTATGTGATAGGAGGCAAACGAGCAGACGGATCACCTGATGGTAAGTGATTTATCAAGTTTGTTAGAGAGATTTCATCCTTATACTAACTTAACCCTAACGATCAATGCAATAAAAATACGGGGTGTTAGTTGGTTCGATTTCCGAGTGTGGCAAGCAAATTTTTGGATATAATATTTAAATGCAGTTCTACTTCTTTTAAAAAAAAAGGACTACAAACTGAAACTAAAATTTTCTATTACAGTATTAAGAGTTAAGTACTTTCTCTCCAGGTGGCATTACAAAATTCCACCCTGTATTATAAATGCAAAAGTTTGTGTGGATGCCTGGATGTAAGTTATGTAATGTTTGTCAACGTACTTGTAAGACGACTCTACCAGATCTTTTCTCTCTTTCTGACTTAACCAAATCAGGTAAACATACAAAGAAAATAATTACCTACATTGTTACGGAGCATTTGTTTAGTAATTTTTGTTAATTTTCGACATTAAACGTAAGCTTCAGCTTAGAGCTTGTCCGACAAAATTTTCTAAACAATAGAAAGTTAGAACAGAACATTTACAAGTTATTGTTGCATTCGCAACTGCCATACACAAATATATCTTTGTGTTCAAGCAATATTGTTTTAATGACCATTATTACACACAAATAAATTAGAACTTTCCAGTACTCAAATCTGAAGAGGTTTCGTTTTAATTAAAACCTATTGTTTGGGTCTTATGCATATTCAAATGGTAACATTTTCATACAATTAAACTAGCACATACATACAATTCATCGCATTTTAGGGTAGATACATTTAAAGGCTTCTTTAACTACTTCATGGAAAATTTATAGATTGGGCCCTTACCTATGAAATTAGCGTTTTTTCTTTAATATTCATTAGTATATAGGATGTCCCAAAAAGTAGTATCAAGCCGAAGCCCAGAGGTAGAGTATCACTAGGGCTATCCAAATCACCCCTATGTATGTTCCGCGATTTTTGATAGTTTTCGAGTTATGATTTTTTTTAATTTCTGTGCTTAGGCACTTTTTTGGTCACTGTGGCTCGAATAGTCAAATTACATGCCTGAATTTTTAAATATTAATAGATGAATACTAGGCCTAGCTGATTCAGAAGTGTTTGCATCCATAACACGAATGTAAACTAAAAACGTTAAAGTTGTAAAAAAAATCATAACTCGAAAACTATCAAAAGTCGCGGTGATTCGGATAGCCCTAATGATGCTCAACCTCTGGGCTTCGGCTTGACACTACTTTTTGGGACAACCTGTATTAACCGAAATAATAACAGTAAAGTTATTTATCATAACTAGTAAACGGGTTCCCACTTCCCATTAAACTCGTTCTGAAAGCTGGGCCCCATTAGTAGAGCTCTTTTAAACAAACCTGAATTCAAAATACGAGTGGGCTCGACCGAATATTGCAGAATTCCCTTAGAAAAATTGACTTTTATGGAAATCTGAGAGGAATATAATTATACAAATCCGTATGCGTTATTAATTCGAATACTTCAAAAATATGTCACTTGGATTCATTCACTCGCGCTTGCAAAGCGTACAAAAGATCGCCCCTATAATGGATTCGCTTTTAGATTGCACTGGCTCACTCGCAGAATTACCAGAACTGAAAGTTCCTTACTCAAGTTTCTTTAATACATCGCAGAGCTTAATTTGAACAAAATCCAAGATCAAAGTTCGAAGGAACCTAAGTTAATCGAGTGAATGAAACGCTGTTATTACTTTACAAATCTATATCTTAACCGTATCACAGCTCAAGTATATCAATTGCTGAGCTGGGGGATTGTTAACTTTGGTATTGGCATAAGTAATTTGAGTGTACTTATATTAAAGTTCTTAATAAGATATGACATCTTAGCCCGATGGGCTACGCACGATATCGCCTTCTTAAGCATATTATTGTTCGTCAGATAAAGAAATTTAAAAAAGCTGGTGACTCTCCATTCTCTCAGCGGTCGCAGGTTTTATATACTTAAGTACACAGATGGCCCGCGCCGCCCTTTGAAGGTCTTTGCACCTCCCATGCACTTTTGGAACCAATGGTCTAAAACTTACTGTTAATGCTTTCCGTGGACCGGTCGAGGGGCTGGCTGACGCTGAGGCCCGGCTGGGTGCCAGCAGGGCTGTCTGTTTGGCCCAACCTCTCCCCCTGGCTGGCCGAGAGGCTGGAGTCGCTGCGTCCCACTGTCGAAGATGACCGAAGGCTGGTCGTGCTACTCATCTGAAATGCCACGACCATGATATTAAAATAAATGCATTTAATCGAAAAGTGAACCAGTAAATGTTGATCTTGATTGCATGAATTATTTGGAAACAAGGTTTGCACCTTGCACCATCCCAAGGCGGATATTGCTCTTCTATATGATAGCATATTAATAAGAAGCATAGTATATTGGACAAAAGTTACAATTGTAAAAGCCAACTCAAACTGTTAAACTGTTTGCTATCCGAAATAGCTTGAGTACTATTAATGGGAGAAGTTTAAATAAATAACTTACACGTCGTGTTTTGCCTACTTTATGCCCAGATTGAAGAAGAATTAGGAAGATAGTAAATAAATATGAAGTTATTCCTCACACATGCATGTACGAGTACACTGAGTATACTTCAGTAAATAATGATAACATGTCTAAATGTTAAATCTAAACACGACATTAGGTAGGTAGCTAATATACTAATAATGATTACACCAGCAGCATAGTCTGTGAATCATAGTACATAATACAGCAAATAGTCTAGCACGTGCGGGCAGTGTCAACATCACTGATTTATTATTTTTTAGCTATAAACTATTTTGTTACTTACTTTAGAAAATATTGTTCGATAAGCTAAGTAAAATCTAGATACGTGTTTATATCGTTACTCCTAGTTGCCTATTTATAATTAATCTATCTGAACGGTCATATTTTCATATTCAAACGCAAGTTGTTATTTCATTTTAACCTGTTATTACTCATTTATAGGGCTAATCATTGGATTAACTGTTTGAAAATAGTCCGATTAGAAACTTACCTTATCACAGGTTTTATTTTCGCTATCAAGGTTAGTCTTTTCATTCAACGATTGCAACGAAACTGATATTGACCCCCGTCGTGACAGGTGCGAGGATTGCCTTTTGAATATCTCCGTAGTATTTTTCAGGAAACTGTCCATTTTCTTCCTGAAAAACGAAGATTTTCTTTCCAAAGGCGACTTTCCAATTGAGTGCAGATCTAATTCCGATTGAGAGAAACTCTCGCGCCTATTCAGCATCGTTTGATCGAGTGATAACTTTCTTTCACGACACTGTGTAAGCTTGCCTTTTGGGACTGATGCTGCAATTTCAGGTGAAACAGCAGGGTCGACTGCTAAGTTATCGTTACTTCTAGACGTTATAACAATTTTAATTTTTTCAGAATTATGGTCACTATTTACATCTACTTCATCACTTGCTGCACTTTCACTTGGCGTCTCAATTTGGGGAACGTTTTGTTCTGTATACGGAGAATCTTCTGGATTCTCTTTTCGTTCGTTATTTGCGTCGTCCTCACTACCACAGTTCTGTTGATCACTGGTTTCCACATTTAATGTGTCAGTAACAGTATCATCTACTGTCTTCATCATTTCCTGGTTAATTGCACTGTGTGGCTCCCTATCAGAAGCTCCTTCGCTATTTTGGGCCTCATCGAAGTCATCATTATCGTTGAAATCTTTATTTTGCATTATTTTACTTCCACGAGGAGCCTTTATTCTCATACTACTATTCATTTTTACAGTTCGTAATATTTCCCTTATTTTGATATTCTCCTTCATGGATTTGACATCGGCAATGAAAAGGCTGGATTTATCTTTGTCGACGTGCTTCATTGGTGATTCTTTTTTCGACTTCTGTCGAAATCTATCCATGTTTGCGGCTGTGTTTTTCTACTCGATGAACAATTACAGTTTGCAGTAATTAAATAAAACTAGCATCACTCAAAACAACCTCATGGTGCCGTTAATTTACACACAATTTTATCACAATTCACGTTCAACGTTACACTTGTACAAATAATACCATCATATTGAAGGTAAAAGTGACGATAACGATTAAGAATAATCGGCACCCAATCCTATTAGTGTGAAGTAATAAATATCTGAATGTAGCTAGCGGCGAACGCTACGTGTGTGCGACTCTGAAGAAATACTGATATCGAAGTAATTATTTCATTATACGCGTTCGCGACAACGTCAGTGAGAGAACACCGGCAACGTCACCATGTAAGCAAAAGTATGGCTAAAGTAAACACCGTGAAAACGAGTCGAAGTGATCGCGTTAGTGTGTGTCGCTTCTTCAACTTATCGCTTCAGAGATATCTCGAGGGCCGAGATAATAGGTGATAATAATGTATCGCATATCTTTAGAATAATGGTTTACGTATAAGTAAAAATATAACTGATCGAAATCATTTGCAACTTTCACACGATATTAATATTAACATTTTATTTTTTAAATTTTAGACTAAAAATATTCTAAGTATAATTTAAATGTGACTTTGAGCCTGATATCGGAAAAATCTTAAAACATAAAATGTAGGTATGTTATGGATGACCTACTGAAAGTGAAACATATAATAACATGCCTAATAAATTGACTACCTACATTACGCCATTCGATAGGTTTCTTTACACTTATAAATATGCAAATGCATTAACTAGTTATTTTGTTAGATAATTTAACTTTTTTAACTCGGCTAACGTGAGCCTCGATACCTGAAATGTGCCTATTGGTGAAAAAATTTTAATTGTATGAGTGGGCTGTTTTCTTTAAAAAATCACCTATCCTGAATTTAATGTCGTTCCTAGTAGCAATTGTTTCTACGTGGCCAATAAGAATACGTCACACCACGCTCATTACTTTAGTTTTCTTTTAAAAATTAAATAGTGGCGTTTAAATAGCAATAGATTTCAGATTATGCGAACCTCTGTTGGAAACATACACAAAGCATAATATTGAGGGCTTAGTGTGAGTTTACATCAAACCTCGTCACTAGTGAGCGCGTTAAAAAGTATATGAACATTTTAGATCTTGAAAGTTTCCGCTAGGGGCGCTGTACTATCCGTCATACATTTTTTTACGCGCTCACTAGTGACAACGAAACTCACACTAAGCCCTCTGATCATCAAAATTTAGAGGGATCCGTAGTAAAGTTGGACCATTATTGGATAAGGTCACAAGAGTGTCACCAGTTTCTCAGAACAAGTTAATGGGCCGACCTAAAACTTGGTATAGAAGTGACGCGTGAGATGTGTAAATAATTAAATTTGACTGAACTGCTGGGCTAGGATGCGCGCCGTGATATAATTTATCGACCGACATCAAAATGTGTGGGCAAAATCGATAAAATAGCGTGATAACCGCTTATTGCGGCGCGCATCCTAGGCCTACTGGAAAACATTATCTTCTTTCAGAAAAGATACGTAACTAACATGAAGGTTGAATTAGACCCTATTGTTATAATTCCTAAGATAGAATAAGATATTAATATTATTTATTTATTTATTGACAAAGATCTACCCACCAATATTAGGTTCTATTAAGAGTTTTAACCGTTAAAATTCTTAATAAAACCCTTATTTCGTTCTTTCGTTCGTTTCCGTCGAATGACGTCCACTGTTGGACAAAGGCCTCCCTCAAGGATTTCCACAAAGACCGGTCCCTTATTTACACTAATATTATGCTTAGTGGACTTTTTCGAAATGATAAAACATATTAAAATAATAACACCACAATTTATTGACTAGACACTGTTACAAATAAACGGTAGGCGACTCGACAGCAAGCATCGTTTGGGTAGCAATAGGGATGATGACTGGGTAATGAAATCGAATTTATATATAGTCCGTCAGACAGATAATAAAAAAATTTTGGACACATAATTTTTAATTTTTTTCATAATCGAATAATTACAGAATTAAACTACTTTTTTCAATTAAAATGCAACAAAAAATCCTTATTTACAGGTAATTTAAAATTAATTAAGTTTCACCAGAATGAAGTGTTTTTTTTTTATGTTGTGATTTAGAATTATTGGGGAATGATGCCAAAAAGTCTATTGTCAGCTGCTACCACAATGCTGCTTCCATGACGCGTTCCTTCACATCATCCTTCATTTCTTCCCTCCGTCGGCGGGCACGTCGAACTCGCTGACCTGGGCGTCCACCAGTTGCTTGCTCCTCAACTTTACTATGGCGTGGCTGGGGACGTTGGGGTCTTCCATCTCAAACTCGATTAGTCCTGTAGAAGATAACCATAATTATAACAAACCTTACTTTTATAATGCATGCTCGTATCCTCAGATTCTTCTTAGGATACTTCACGAGACGTAACACTGGCTCCATAGAGCGCCACAGGGCAAAGTGGAGGACCCAAGGTCAGGCGGACAAGAAGGAGAAAAAAAGTGTTAAAAGTCGAAAAAGTATAGGTTGGAGCTTAGACCGGTTATGAGGAAATGTGGTCATATTTGCGCAAGCAGAATATTAACCGCTATGATACTAATCGCACCCCTCCTCCCCACTCCCGTGACATGGCATGTCAGGGGCCAGGCCCCTCTGAAAAAGAACCCTAGATACGCCAATGTACGCCTTCGTGCTTCAGTGGTGGGAGAGGATCTGGGTTCGACTCCTATATGGGACATAGTGAATTTTTTAGTCAGTCTGGTTGTGTAGTGTCGGTTTCATTCAACCTGACTGATAGTGTTAATGTCGTCGGTACGATTGAATCCTATCACCTGCATATGTGTGACTTAGGTTCAGCTATTTAGTATTTACTACATAGTTCACTTCTATTTTCATGATTGATGGAGTCTCAGACAGCTAAAATTGCGATTTATTTCCTACTAGCTTTCCGCCCGCGGCTTCGCGCGCGTCGACTACATTATCTACATATTTTACGGAACCCTATTTTTTTCCAAAATAAAATTTTGCCTATGATACTCGTGGATAATGTAGCTTTCGAAAGGTGAAAGAATTTTAAAAACGGTCCAGTAGTTTTTGAGCCTATTCATTACAACCAAACAAACAAACAAAGTTTTCCTCTTTATAATAATAATATTAATTTCCTATAAAACACCTGAAAATCTCTACATTTTTCTGTAGTTTTCAAGTTGCGAGTGTTCTCATTAGTTAAGTACTTTGATATTTTGCCGAAACATCTGTCTATAATCAAAACTCTGTGACACTAGCTAGAGTATTACATTGTCATCCATCCGACTTGTGAAGAAATTTAAATTTTATTACAAAAGACTGTCGAAAAGTAGGACACAATTAACTTGTATTACATTTTGAACAAAAAGACACACAAGTAAAAGTAATTTAAAAACTTTTATAAATGTAGGGCTTTTTACTGATTAAAAGAGCGGTTGTGGTCATAACAGTGTCTGTAAGTAAATAATTCAAAGATTCTGAACATCATCTTGTCTCAAAGTGAAATTGCAAAAGGTCGAACCGCACTATAACGCCACTTTTAATTAGCGCTGCAGCCGCGAGCACTTACAGCTTAATTGTTCAGTAGCAGGGCAGCGAAATGAAATGAATTAAATATATCAGCCCCGTCTTTCACGATCTAAGTATTTTTAATTTAATAGAATCTATCTTGTTTATTCCGACTTACAGTTCCAGAGGCGGAAGGTTTTAGAAAACTAGTCTAAGTGCCACTTTAATTTCTATTAGTGACTGATACTTATTCTGACCTCCGCCTTGCCCTCATTTCTGGGAATTTATTTTAGTAGATTTATGAATTATAATGAATTGTAGTGAGTTAGTAATAATGACGCGTAGGTCCTGAAAAGTTTCAACAAATAATAACGTGAAACGTTAGAATTAGAGCAATTATTCATAACTATTATTAAAGCGGACGTGTATAATGAGAGTCTCGTGGTAATACGAGTATCATTTATGGCGGGTACACCTTTCGTAGTTCCTATCAAGTGTTTGAATTTAATTATATTTTGGAGAAATCAACAGTCTGTATACAACCTTTTGTCCTCCAAAAGCCTCATACACTTTTATGGGCTGATATAAGAATGAAACATCATCACAGAATACGTGGGTGATGGTGTCAAGGGTTTGGTGACAGGCAACTTACAATCGATTATAGGTGGAGTCGACCAAACAAGAGTACCTAAATATTAATATCAGAATAAATCGTCAGTTATAGGACATTTTGACATATTTACCATACTGAAACTGTCAATGTGCTAGCTATACCAGGACTTATTCTCGGATAAAAGTTTGGTCGAATCGGGCCTAAACAGTTAATCAATAGGTGTTGACCTGTGAAGCGTTTAATATCATGAAGTCAAAACACAAACACCGCGTTGCTTTGTGTCGAATATAGACATTAGATTCTATCAAGTATGAAATCAAAGCACAGGTTTCGATTTCCCCACAGTGAGTGACCCCCGTGAATGGGCACGCTCGAACAATGATATCTGCTTTGCCACACAAATAAACAAACAATACAGCGAAATAGGTATTGCTTTTAACAATTTTTTAATACTAAGGAATACAATTTTTGACCTAGAAATTAACCACATATAATTAAGTAAGCCTTGATGACATTTTAAAATATTTTTACAAATCCTGTATTATGGAAGATTGAGTATTTTGTTCTAAAAAATCTAATTTTGAATTCCTCTCAGAATCTGAATTCTGGTGACTATTACCTAGCCTCAACAGTTTTTAAACACTACCGCGAAGGGGTGTTCACGAGAACTAAGCAGGTAGATAGATAAATGAAAAAGGCATTTGCTGTGATCTCCTGGGTCACAGTCATCTCGGACAACTCAGGTATGTGCACCGTCATCTTCTTCCACGTGTGTCCTAAATTAGACTACCAAAAAGTACTTATATAATGACCCCAAATAAATTCTTTCTCGCTTCATTCAGCGACCACCATGTTCTTTTAGTTGTGGAAGATTTTGGCGTTACGTCTATCTCAGAGACCGTCTGAATTATCTGTTTGCTTTTACCACGCGTGTCTTGTTGACGTAGAAAATCAAGGTGTGTTGAAATTGACTTCAAACAATATTATTTTCTTACCTCCTTCAGCGACCACGTCGTCCTTGTAGTTGTCCTGCATGGAGCGCGCCAGGATGTTGTGGTAAAAGTCTTTGACGTTCAGCTTGATCTCCGGCGTCACTTCCATCTTGGAAACTACCTGGATCAGCAGCGTCAACTTCTTTCGCGTGTGTCCTGACTATGACTATCAAAAACTGCTGATATTGACCCCATATATTCTTTCTCACCTCCTTGAGCGTCA